CCGAGCCGCGCGCCCCCGGCCCCGGCCCCCAGCGCCTGGGCCGGATGTCCCGATGAGAGAGCCGGCGCTGGCAGCCAGCGCCATGGCTTACCACCCGTTCCACGCGCCGCGACCGGCCGACTTCCCCATGTCCGCCTTCCTGGCGGCGGCGCAGCCCTCCTTCTTCCCGGCGCTCGCTCTGCCGCCGGGCGCGCTGGCCAAGCCTCTGCCCGACCCGAGCCTGGCGGGGGCAGCGGCGGCGGCGGCAGCTGCAGCGGCGGCGGCCGAGGCGGGGCTGCACGTCTCGGCGCTCGGTCCGCACCCGCCCGCCGCACATCTGCGCTCGCTCAAGAGCCTGGAGCCCGAGGACGAGGTGGAGGACGACCCCAAGGTGACGCTGGAGGCCAAGGAGCTGTGGGACCAATTCCACAAGCTGGGCACGGAGATGGTCATCACCAAGTCTGGGAGGTAGGGCGGCCGGCCGGGGCCGGGGTGGCGGCGGGCAGGCCGGGCACCCGCAGCACCCACCCGCCCAGCCGTCGCCACGAGGCGCTCGGAGCTGGGTGCTCGCAGACAACCAAGTAGCTTTTCTTTTTTGGTACTGATGGGGTGGGGGGGAAGGGTGAATTTAAAAAAAAGAATTCAACCCCTCCGCCCCGGGAAATAAAACGAAAACGTACTCCTAAAGAATAGCCCCAGCCATTCTGGGTCTCAAAGCCAAGGAGGCGCCAGAGGCCCGGCCGTGCTGGCCTCAACTCGGCGTCTGGCTTCTCAGCCTCTGGGTCATCTCATAGCTCCAGGGGGAGCAGCTTTTTCCAACTCCCTGTCCGCCGACTTTGGGAACCTACTAGCCTCAGGCCGCAGCTCTGGTCCCGGTAGCACTGGAGTGAGCCCGAGGCTGACCTGCTTGGAGTCTCGTTCTGCCAGGGAGCTCAGCCCTAGAGATCTACTCCTTGCCCCAGGCCTTGGAGCAAGAAAGCCATCCTCCCCAGCCTTTCCACCCTTCCGCTCAGCCACTGAGGATCCAGGCCTCAGTTTCACCCTCTTCCCCCGAACTGCAGGGTCAGGGGCTCTGACCAGGGCTGTAACCTGGGGCCCAAAGCAAATATAGTTCCAGGAGTTTTTGTACCTGGTGTATACTTTGTCTCAACGAATTTCAGGGTGATTCGGTAGACATTAGTGTATTTCCAGAAGACATGAATTTCTTTCTTAGACTGGAGTTTTCATTTCAGATCAGAAAGTGGGCTCCCAGGCCTGAGCCCAAAGCCAAGAGGTGTGAGGGGGCAGAAATGGGATTTCCTTGGAATAGCAGCCATAGGTTGGGGTCTCCCAAGCAGTGCAGCAGTGCGAAGAGGGCAGAGCAGCCAGACAACAGGAAAGGCAAATGGGGACCCTCCAGGCTTCTTCTCATTCAGCTGGGGTAGGTAGTCAATGAGAAGAGAGGTCCTCCAACATGAAGAGCCTGGTCCCAATGGCATCTCCCCCTTCCCTCCCGCCAAGGCGGATGTTCCCCCCCTTCAAGGTGCGAGTCAGCGGCCTGGACAAGAAGGCCAAGTACATCCTGCTGATGGACATTGTAGCTGCTGATGACTGCCGCTATAAATTCCACAACTCCCGCTGGATGGTGGCAGGCAAGGCCGACCCAGAGATGCCCAAACGCATGTACATCCACCCGGACAGTCCAGCCACCGGGGAGCAGTGGATGGCCAAGCCTGTGGCCTTCCACAAGCTAAAGCTAACCAACAACATCTCCGACAAGCATGGCTTCGTGAGTGTGGGCATAGCCGGGAGAGGGTTAAGATACTCTGCAGCTAGGTGGCTAGAGGAGGGTGGCAGGATTCTACACCCATCCAGAAGTACCAGCCAAACCCCTAGGGTACTCCTGCTCTGGTCACTGCCCTGTGCCCTAGGCTGGCCAGGCCTGGGCCTCCAGGGTTCTGCTCTATTAGCCTGGGGAAAGGCTGGCTGGTGGAGTGTAAGCTCCAGGCTGCTTGAAATCTCAATTCCAGTTAGTTTGTGAGCGCCCCTCCCAGAATCAAGCCGGAGGCAGGTGTGGCAAGGACTGGCTGGGTTGAGCAACGCTGGTCCTGGGGAGGTCACCTCACTCCGGCCTGGAGGCGCTGAGCCTGAAAGACCTGCCTAAGACCTGCCTGTGACCCCTCACCTTTCCCCAAGGCTAGGGGATTTAAAAATGAAATTAGCCCCCCTATAGACTTCTTGAGGTCTTTCCCACCCCTCACAGGCAGCTGCCCAACTGGGAGGAGAGGGTGTGTGTGGGGTCTATGTTTTTGCCTGAGCCAAAGTCCCAGAAAATGGTGGGAGGAGGCAGGTTGGATGGGGCGAAGGGGGCTGCCAGTTCCGAAATGAGTAGGGCAGCAGGTGACCTCCCTCCAGGATCCTCTCTGAGGGATTTCTGGGGTATAACAATGCCAAAAGGAAACCAGGTGAAGCAAGGAATTGTGTTCTTTTTCTGCTTTGTTTTATTTATTTCCAACTGGGGAAATTTTTAATTAAGGAGAAAGAAAAACTATAAGAAAGAAAGGCATGAGAAAAATAGAAGAACAAGAAATACAAGTGAGAAAACCAGAAAAGAGGAGAGCAAGGGATGAAGGTCAGAACTGAGACAGAGAAGGGCAGGCAGAAGAACAGGCCTGATCTCTGGCGAGGGCTGGAGGGGCTAGCTGACCCGCGCCCCCTTCCCGCAGACCATCCTGAACTCCATGCACAAGTACCAGCCGCGCTTTCACATCGTGCGAGCCAATGACATCCTGAAGCTGCCCTATAGCACCTTCCGCACCTATGTGTTCCCAGAGACCGACTTCATCGCTGTCACTGCCTACCAGAATGACAAGGTGCGCTGGCCAGGCAGTGGGCTTAGCACCCCCAGATGGTGCAAGGTCCGACCCAACATGCCCCCTCGTGTGCCCATTCTGGCACTTCTAGTCTTTCATCCACAAGTGCTGCACCCAGAAAAACCCCAGATCCTCTCTCAGGCCCACAGGGACGCATACCCTCTGGGGGCACTCAAACAGCTGGCCAGTAGTTCGGGTGATGTTTACCTAACAATTAGCAGGGACTCCAACGGACCAATGCTGACATTTTTATATTTTATTCGTTTATTTCTTGTCTCAGGGATGGGAAATTAAATGAAAAGAGGATACCCCAGGCAATCTGCCCAAGTTCTGCTGATGCTAAGAACTCGGGCCCCGTTTCACCCACCTGAGGGAGCCAGAGGGTGGGACAGGTGACACACTCCCTGGGTAGAACTCTGAGTCAATCCAGGACCCAGACCCCTTGGGAGATGCTGAGAGAATTTGCCTTCAATTTTAAGTGTTTTTGTTGTTGTAGTTGTTTTTTTCTACTTGCTGTTTCTCTTCTCTCTCCTCCTGGAGCAGAGTACTATCCCCCACTAAACCTGTGGCCCTGAGCGCTGCAGTCCCCTGAAAGAGAAGCCATTCAGGTCTTTGTGTCTCTGTGAGCCTGGGTGTCTCCTACAGGCGTGCCCTATTTGGGGTGCCTTGGATCTGGGTGGCAGTGTGTGAATTCGTTTGCTTCTCTCTATGTGTGTGTGCGGGCACTTGCGCACACGTGCGAGGACCATGGATTTGGCTTTGCCTGTTTGTGCTGACTTGCGTGTGTGCTGCTACATCCGTGTGTGCCTGCTCCACACGGAGTGGTTTAACCTGTGAGACCACACGGGCTTGTTTGCTCGGTTGGGCTGATTCCGACCCTATGCACAGCTTTGGGCCTGTGTGTGCGTGTTGAGGGATTATTTGTTGAACAGTCTCACCCGATACTTGCCTGCTGGCCTCGCCTCAGGGAGTCCCATACCAGGCAGGCGCTCCCTAAATCCCGGGTCTCCACGCTGCAGCCAGCTGCTGCTGACTTACGGGTGGCCCAGGCCGGCTGGAAGACTTAGGTCCTGACCTAGAAGCCCCCTCTCGGTCCCCGCAGATTACACAGCTGAAGATCGACAACAATCCGTTTGCCAAGGGCTTCCGGGACACCGGGAATGGCCGTCGGGAGAAAAGGTGAGCGAAGATTCGGAGGGCCTGTGGCGGGTGCCCCGGGCTGCGGGAAGCCCGAGGACAGGCGCGCTCTATGCGCTCTGCTGACCACTCCTTCTGCTCACCTCCAGGAAGCAGCTGACGCTACCCACCCTGCGCTTGTATGAGGAGCACTGCAAGCCCGAGCGCGACGGCGCCGAGTCGGACGCCTCCTCATGCGACCCTCCCCCTGCTCGGGAACCGCCGACCTCCCCCGGCGCAGCGCCTAGTCCCCTGCGCCTGCACCGGGCCCGAGGTGAGGGCCAGATTGTTAATCAGGGTGAGGAGAGGGAGCATGGGAGCCCGGGAACGGCCCCTTAGGGCGCCCCGCTGGACTTTTGCTCAGTCTGGCTAATTTTGAAGCCCTTGGGAGAAGCGTGAACCGTGCGTTCCGGGAAGGGCTTCCAGCCGGGGGCCTATGCTGCGTGGTGGGGCTGTAGTGCCCAGGTATCCTGCTGAATTCTGAGCTAGGATCCTAGGCTGCACGACTCTGGCAGTTAGGTTCCTCTTCGCCAGCAATAAGGTTTTTCTAAATTTCTTCCACTGTAAATATGGGGTCTTGGATTAGCTGACTGGCAGCGGCCCCTTGCCTGACTCTAAGGCTTCCGACCCGGCCTTCCCAAGAGCTGGCCGGTTTTCAAGTCTTCCCGACTGACTGGGCCCAGACACCGGAGAGGGCTTCTCATCTGGCTCTGGCTGGTCCCCTGTAACCCCGCACACGTCCTCTCCCCGCAGCCGAGAAGTCGTGTGCTGCCGACAGTGACCCTGAACCCGAGCGGCCAGGCGAAGAGCGCGCCTTGGTGGCCCTAGGTCGCAGCCCTGCTCGAGACAGCGCCAGTCCCCATCGCCTGACCGACCCGGAGCGTGCCCGAGAGCGACGCAGTCCAGAAAGAGGCAAGGAACCCGGGGAGAGTGGCGGGGACGGCCCGTTTGGCCTGCGGAGCCTGGAAAAGGAGCGCTCCGAAGCCCGGCGGAAGGACGAGGGGCGCAAGGAGGCCGGTGAGGGCAAGGAGACCGGCATGGCGCCGCTGGTGGTGCAGACAGACAGTTCGTCCCCCCTGGGCTCGGGACACTTGCCCGGCCTGGCCTTCTCCAGCCACCTGCACGGGCAGCAGTTCTTTGGGCCCCTGGGAGCCGGCCAGCCGCTCTTCCTACACCCAGGACAGTTCGCCATGGGCCCCGGCGCCTTCTCTGCCATGGGCATGGGTCACCTGCTAGCGTCGGTGGCAGGAGGCGGCAGTGGAGGAGGCGCTGGGCCAGCAACCGCCGCGGGGCTGGACGCAGGCGGCCTGGGCCCCGCAGCCAGCGCAGCAAGCACCGCAGCACCCTTCCCGTTCCACCTCTCCCAGCACATGCTGGCATCTCAGGTAAGGCGCAGCAGGAGGGCAGCAACACCATCTGGGTGGCTGCAGTGCGTGCGTGGAGGGCTTGAGGGCTGCCATAGGTGCTTGGATCCTCCAGGAGTCCGGATCACAGTTTTGGGAGAATTTATGGACTCTAATCTGGTCACTCTATGACAGCAAGGTTCTGAGAAATTAAAACTATGGGCCCAGGCTCTGGCTATGTGTGACCTTGGTGAAGTCCCTGAGCCTCTTTGCACTTGTCACTGTCCACATAAGCCCAGCAAAGAGCAGAGACATTGGTTAAGTCTTGAGCCAGCAAAGGTGGCACACTCCTGCACTCTCAGCTGTTCTAGAGCAGAGACAGGAGGATAACAAGTTTGAGGCCAGCCTGGAGAATTTAGTGACTTAGCGTGACCCTGTCTGAAAATAAAAAATAAAAAGTACTGGGGCTGTAGCTCAGTGGGAGATCACACAGGAATCCCAGGGTTCAACTCCAAGCGTGTGTGTGGGAGGACTCTTTTGGGGTTTCCCTGGCTTTTGTGAAGTCTATGATTCTGGTCTCCAGGCATTTGCCTGGAGAAGGAAGATGTTGTCTCACTGTTCCGCAAGGCAAAGGTAGCCTAGCCTCCTAGAAAAGGAAATTTTGCATTATTTTCTGGATATTTGACAACAAAAATGATCCATCTCCCAGATTTCTCTAGCCTATTTCAAGTTCTCAAAGGGGTCCTCTATCCTAACAAAGGACAAGATCAGTCTTTCCCCCATCTTGAGCCCCCCTAACACTCCCAGCCACATCTCAGGAAAAGAGGGGGCTCAGTTCCCCAGAGCCCCCTTGAAATTCTGAGCTCCCAGGGGGAGTTTATGAAAATGTGGCCAGCGGCACAATAAGGAGATCCAATGGGGGGGGGCAGCCTCTTTGGTTACTTGGGTGGAATATTCCTTGTGGAAAGATTTGGAATCTCTTCATTCATTTTCTTCCCTCTGAGGTTTCTGGCAAATTGAACCCTCCAGATCTTATCTGAAGGGAAGGAAAATAGGAATTCAGGTCTGAGAAAGCTCCTTTGGTTCAGAAGCAAATATTTCTGAAGTGGGGTGGGGGTGGGGCTCTGACATGAGTTTTCAGCCAGGCTCAGCATCTGGGTGTGTGGCAGGTTTGAGGCACCAACATCCTATGGAAGTTCTATGAAAGTTCCGGGGTCTAGAAGGTTCATCTGTACCCTTGGCTTCGTGTGTGTGCGTGCGCGCGCGTGCGCGCGCGCGCGCACGTGTGCCTGTGTGAATGCCTCCTCCATAAACAAATTTTGGTGAGGTTGTGGGTGTTCTAGAAGTCACGGGGAAGTTGGGGCTCCTGCACACAGCCTGGTCAACAGGTGCAAAGCCAGGATGAGAGGAGCCAGCTCAGGAGACACTGCTGGTAGAACTGGTGGGGGCTAAGTTCCCAGACTGGAGCTAGCAGGTAGAGCAGATCCTTAGAGATCGTAAGTCTCCTCTCAGCTCCGTTTGCCAGATCTAAAATGCTCTCCATTATCTAAAAGGTGAGATAATCCAAAAATCGGGCCTCAGGATCACAGGGGTGTTTATGTCCAGAGTTTCTTGGCCAGCTCTACTATCCACAGAAGAAAACTTTGCATTCTACCCTAACCTTCAAGTTACCTGTGGAACATTCAGGCCAGTTTGTAGCCTGCTGGCTTCTTGTGCCTTGCTCCAGGCCCAGGCAGGAGAGTTTACCCAGCTCCTCCCTCAGCCTGAGCTTGCCCAGCCCTAGGGAACAGCAGGAAGGACACTTCCAAATGACCAGCACTTCCTATGCCGGCCACAGCTGCCTGCTGGCCACTTGGTATTATGCCTGCCTGGTCTCCTTCTTTGCCTGTGCTAGTTCAGCCACCTGCTGAAGATCTTCCACTAGCACCTGATGTGACAGCCAACACAGAGCTTGATGGCACCAGGCCTTTGCACATGACCTGGGTGATGTGTACCCTCACTAGGTCATGTCTACCTGTGCTGCCAGTGGTTTTAGTTACACAGTTCTGGTTTTCTATCCTGAAACGGTGGGACAGGGTTTATCAGTTGTAGCCGACAGGCTACCTTTAGAGGCATCTCTGGTGAGGTATCTAACTCTTGTCTGTTCTGTTCCTTCCAGGGAATCCCAATGCCCACCTTCGGAGGCCTCTTCCCCTACCCCTACACCTACATGGCAGCAGCTGCTGCAGCCGCCTCTGCTTTGCCGGCCACCAGCGCTGCGGCTGCAGCTGCGGCAGCTGCGGGCTCCCTATCCCGGAGCCCCTTCCTGGGCAGTGCCCGGCCCCGCCTGCGCTTCAGCCCCTACCCAATCCCAGTCACCATTCCACCTAGCACTGGGCTCCTCACCACTGGGCTGGTGGAGGGCTCCAAGGCTGCAGGTGGTAACAGCCGGGAACCCAGCCCACTGCCCGAGCTGGCTCTCCGAAAAGTGGGGGCTCCGTCCCGAGGAGCTCTGTCCCCCGGCGGCTCTGCTAAGGAGGCAGCCAGTGAACTGCAGAACATCCAGAGGCTGGTGAGCGGGCTGGAGAGCCAGCGAGCCCTGTCGCCAGGCAGGGACTCACCCAAGTGAGGGGCTGCTCGCTTCGGCCACGAAGGCCTCCGGGGCTGCCTGCCCCTACTGCTTGGAACGTGTACAGCACAGAATGGGTATTTATTTAAATAAAGGAGAACAGCAGGCTGCCGCAGCCAGAATAGAGAGCCTGGTCCCGCAAGCCAGGTTCTGGGGCACTTCCTCGGGCCTCAACCAGGAATCAGGCCGCCGAGAACACAGTCAGTCGCCATGGAGCCGCTGGACTCGGTCCAGACCTGCTCCGGCATCAGTCCAGGTGACATCGGTGGGGTCTCCGGTCTTCCAGCGCTGTGGGAGAGGCCTCGCTCCTGTCCCCGTGTCCCAGAAGGTGCACGGGCCAGAGGTGGGATCTTCCGAGTCCCGGGCCCTGGCCCTAGGCCGGACCTCGTGAGAAACTGGGGGGCGGGGAGGAGGGGTGCTGGAGCAAGAGAAGACCTGAGCGGTGCAGACTGGAGCCAGGAGGGGCCTTGGCCTTTTAGCTCCCCGACCTCGTCCATCCCAGGCAGGTACCCCTCCCGCTCCAGCCAGCGGAGGGAGTGGCGCTCCTGCCTGAAGTCCCCAGGGGGAAAAAGATATTTATGAAATAAATGGTAATTTGTGTAAATAAGCTTTAAGGTTCCCAGAATATGCAAATTGGTATTAATTTATTCAAAGGTGTACATTGCTGTGTACTTATATTTAGAGATTAACTCATAGCATTTAATTTTCTTCGTTCTCCATGAGCATCTATATTGTACAGGGCGTGGGTGGGCACCTTGGCTGAGGAGTCGCCCCCCACCCGCAGCCCGCCGGGAGGAGCCACCCGCCGGCCCCTCGGCCCCTGCGCCCGCCCGGGTTCTGCTGGCCTGGCCCGCGGGCTCCATCTCAGGTTTTGACTTTTCGCTCCAAAGCGAGAACGCGACGGGAAAAAAATTCGAGAAAACAATAAAACGCTACCGTGCGAAGTGAACGGCGCTGTGCGCTCTATGGGTTGCGCGGGGCTCGGGCGCCGCACGCGCTCGAGGGGGGACCAGAGGCGGGGACTGAGGCTGGGCGCCGGGGGGCCGGGGTTCAGCTCAGCCGCGTACGTGCGGGGGCAAGGCCCGGCGGCGCCGGCTGGGGGCGCGTGTGGGCCTGGAGGCTCTGAGCAGCCCAGCGCCCCTTGCGCCCCAGCCCCGGCCAGGACCAGACTGGGGCCGGGGCGCCCCCTGCTGGCCACTCACCACGGCTCCTACCCCTAAGCGTATGGAGCGGAGCCGCGAGCCAAGCGAAGTGCAAGAGGCCCCTTCCACCCTCCTCTACTCTGCGGCGCCGTAGAGGAAATGCACTCCTTTCAACGCTTCGGGGTGGGTGGGCTGGGGAAATGAGTACCCTTTGGTCCTTCTGCCGCCGAGCAGAGATTTGGCCACCGATCCCAGAAATCTTCCCCATCTCTCCCGTGTGGCTCTCAAACCGAAACTGTCCGTGTCAGGACTGCTGAATGGAATGGCAAAGTCAAGCCAAAAAATTCTTCCCTGTAACTCATCTAAATCACTCTTGGATATGAGTGGGGTGGAGCAACACCTTTTTTCCCTGGCCATGCAGCTCAGTGGTGCAGCCCTGGCTTGGCAGGAGTGAGGCTCTGGGTTCTATTCCCTGCACTGCAGCACAACAAAACAATTTTCTCTGCCTCGGTTTCCTCTGTATAATAACGGGGATTTCTCTGGAGTATCCGTTGTGTCAGTCTATCAGTCTGGTCCTTCCCTTCGACCTATTCCTGCAAAGACAGCCCGTCCGCAGGGGTGAGCTCGGGAGAGCGGAATCTTCCCTTCTTCGCTTCTCTCAGCCAACAGGTGTCGCAAAGCCCAAATCCTAGTGGTGGGGGTGGGGAGCGCCGCGAGCTCTTCGATCACTTACTTCTTCAACACCCCCGCGGTCCTGTCCCTTAGCGCCCCACCTCCTTCCTTTCCTCTTTGAGCCTTAGGGGTCCATGACGCCCTAGCCGAGCAGGCACCCACCTAGCGTAGGCATGGGAGGACGCTGGTTTCCAGCTCCCCCAGGGACATCAAGGTTAGAGGGTGAAGGTGGAGGTGACAGTTTCAGCCCCCTTCGTGGGCGACAGGGACCCACTTGCAAGGAAAAAGAACCGGTGCACGACCACCTCCTCCTGGAAGGGAGTAGCCCCAGGCCTGGTGAATTTGACGGGGTGAGTGGGAGCGGCGAGAGGATCTACCAGTTCCCCGGAGGGGGCGCAGGAGACCTTCGCAAACCCCAAATGGGTCTGGCTTCCCAGTCTCCAGACCTACGAGAGGGCCGAGGACAGGGTGGCCCGGGAGCCCGGCGGGGACAGGGAAGCCCGTTGCCCCGCTCCCGGAGAATCCCTCGAGTGTGTCAATTTCTTGCAGGCCGCTTTGCGCTACTTCACCTCTACAGCTCCTCGGGCCAGGCGCGCCGGCTGCTGCGGCTTTTCACTTTCCGCGGGACTGGGAAGACGCAGGCGTTCGCGGTGGCCTGGGCGTGGCCACCGACGCCACCAAGCCGGGGCGGGGCCGCAGCGGGCCGGGAGGCCTGGTGGCAGCTGCTTTCTGACGATCGTTGCTGCAGCACCCCGAGTGGGGTTGTGTCCGCTGCCTCCCACCGCCCGTGCCCCCTATCGGAGTCGCGCAGACAAAGGCCAGGCCACTCCCAGGCCCAATTAAGCCACCCGTACCCTCAACCTCCCAGCCGTCTTTGTCCCTAGGGTCGCCAATTAGTCCTAGGGCCTCGCGTACCCGCTGCTCCTTCCGGTGCCCCAGGTCTTTTTAACCCTTCAGGGCCCTGGATGTGGAGTTCAGAGCGCCAAAGGGACCTAAGGGTTGCTGAGGCCCCCTGGTGACCTGACGCGGCGCCTGGGGGTCTAGGCTGTGAGCTTGGGATCGGAAAGGGGATCTTGCGCGGCGAGGCGGATTTTTAACTGTGATTCAATTCACAGGGAACTCGCAGACTTGGGATGCGTGCATGGGCTGAGTCGCCTAGAGTGTACCTGCCGGGACCCTGGATCTGTGGAGCCTCATTTCCTCCTTGATCGCGGAGGAGGCGACCCCAGAGCTGTGCCTCGGTCCAGCCCTGGCACAGCCGAGCGAGAACGCGCTTGGGGCGCCGACTCCAACGTCTCAGGTACAGCACAGTTCCTAGAGGGAGCAGGTTTAGACCCGGCGCCCGTCTTGAGCAGGTCCCCCAAATCTAATTCTGCTCCCCTCTTCTCTTTCGTGGTCCATGACCTCAAGTTCGGAGCCTCGGTAGCGCAAGAGCCCGCGAGCTCGGCGCTTGAAGGCCTGGGCGGCAGCACTCAGGAAGAGCCCCGGAGCTGGGGGCGGGAGCGCAGGGCAAGCGCCCGGGCTCGGGTCGCCTCGGCACTCCCCGGGAACTGCCTCGGAGGCCGGCTGGGCACCCTGCCCCGAAGGTGCGTGCCTCGATTCTTCTGCGGCTCTCTGCTCCACCCACTCGCTGGGGACTGGCCCCTCCGGCCCCCTCGGGAGCGCAGGCTTCCGGGCGCAGGCCTTTCGCAGCCGCTCCTCTGGCGCCGCCCGCAGCTCGTGCGGGGTGCGGCTCGCGAGCCGGCCCGGGGTCCAGTCCGCGGCAACTCTTCATGGGCCCGCGAGATGGCGCTCCAGGCCAGGGGCCGGGCCGCACCACTCCGGCGTGCGGGGACCAGGGGAGGTGGACGGCGAAGCCGCTGCGAGCAGGGCACCGAGGCAGCCGTCGGCGGACCGAGATCCGGCCCCAGAGGCCGCGCCAGGCTGCGGACGCCGGGAGTCGGCGCTTCGAGGCTCGTCATGGGACCCTGTCCTTGGGCGTTCTCCCCGCTTGCTAGGCCGGCTGCAAACATCGCTGCTGTGTGCCGGGTGAGGCCGGGGCCATCGCGCTCCTATGTCGCCGTCCGGGCCTCTCCGGAGCTGGGCTGCGGCGGTGCGGAGTGCTGAGAGGCTGCGGCCACCCCGTGCTTCTCCGCCTGCTCCGACGCCATCCCTCTCCAGCCACACCGGGTCTTCGGGTGGAGCTCGGAGGAGGCTTGGGGAGGTGGTGGGAAAGGAGGAGTCTCAGGCTTAGCCTGAGAACATCTTCCCTAAGGTTGTGAGTCATTTGGGGGCTGGGACGGGAGCCTCGAGGCCGGGTGGCAGGGGAATCAAAGCTGGAGTGGGATGGAGGCGGAGCTTGGCTGCTGATTGCAGAGGGCCTCGCTGGGCCTGGGTGAGCTCTGCCTCCCCAGACATGAACCCTGCATGCACTTGCTAAGGGCCCTCAGCTAGAAAGCAGCTGGGCTGGCGTGAGGGTCACTTCTCCCTGAACACAAACACCCCGTCACCCGGCTCGTGTGACCCCGGTCAGGTGTCTTCCTTGCCCTACGCTGTCAGCATTTTCTCCCTTCCGGTGTAACCAAGGATAGGATCTAAACTTCAGTTTAATTTTTATCTGTATGTCTATCTAGTGCTGAAACAGCTGCTTGGTAGAAAACTGGACAGGAGAAGAGTGCAAGGTCAAACTCTGCCTCTAACTGTAAGACTTTGGGCAATGTGACTTTCTTCTAGGATTCTGAGGCCGAGGATTCTCTGAGATTATTGGGGTGGAGGCATTAGGAAATTGCTGTCCAGATCCTGAGCCCCTCAGGGAGCTGGCTGGCTCCAGCTGCCTACCTCCCTGGGGATGTGGCTGCTTTTGCTGCCTTTCACCTGGGAGCGAGCCCCACACCAGTGAACGTGGTACCAGTTTATTGTTTGCGTGGGATTCCTCCACAAAGAAAAGCTTACGGGGGAATGCCCTCAGGAAGTCCTGTTTAAGGGTGGCCCCAGAGCCCTGATATTCCATGGGCCAATTCCCTCCCTGGGTGGCAGACAAAGCACTTTCTCTTGTGGGCTCTCACTAGAAGCACAGGGATTAGAATCCTCACTTCACAGAGACTGAGGTTCCTGCAGATGAACTGAGGTGCCCAGGGCCAGCCAGTAAACAAAGGACAGAGGTCTTTCACAATCCCTGTCCTGCCCTTGGTGTGGCGAGCTGATGAAGTGATGTGGCTGGGAGGCAGTGTCGCCTGTGGAGGGGCCAAGTGGAGCCATCTGCAGCTGGATGCTGAGCCAGAAGTTGTGTCCCTGGGAGAAGCAGCAGGCCAGAAAGGGGTCCAGGAGATCAGAAAAGAGCAGCCTCAAGGGACCTGCCAGGGACTCTGGTAGCAACAGCAGGGAGCAGCTGAGGAGATTCCCTGAGACAGTCCAGGCCTTAGGCTTAGCTCAGGTCATGGCTCCTGTTCCCAACATTATTTTCTTTCTCAAAAAATGGGAGCCCTTGCTTTTGTAATAGTAGGTGGTAAAACTAAGTCATAGATTTACAGAAGAATGCTTTGATAGGGGGCTCTCCTGGGGAGCTGACAAAAATTAGGCTGGCCCTTAACAAAAGAGAGTTTTTGTTTGGCACACAGGATGTTCCAGAGCGCCTCTGGTCAGGCTGTGGCATGAACACCATGGGACCAGAAAGCATCTTGTTCTTGACACAGTCATGACAGCTGGAGACCAACCATAGGGATGGAGGTCTGGCTGGCTCCTGGGCCTGCAGCCAGCTATTCATCAGAGACACAGCACCTGCCTGGCAGGCACAAGGTCCTCAGCTCAATTCCTGGTACCAAAAAAAGAGAGCATCGTTTGTGTTTTCATCTGAGATGGTCAGGATTTTAAAAGCCAGTTTCCCTAGAATAAGCACTTGCCTGGCAAGCACAAGGTCCTGAGTTCAATCCCTGGTACTGGGAGGGAGGGAGGGAGGGAGGGGGAAGGGAAGGAGGGGGGAGAGAAGAGGGAGAGGGGAGGGGAGGAGAGAGAGAGAGAGAGAGAGAGAGAGAGAGAGAGAGAGAGAGAGAAATGGGAATGGTCTCCAGCTCGAGCAGTTAGAGGGTCACATCCTGGTGGAAGGGGTCACACTGACTGTAAGGATTTGCTAGTAGGCTGGGTCCTGGGCCCA